TCCATTTTAAACAATCAAATTTACTCAAAATCCAAAGTAACTAATTAATTTATTTAATTCAACATCTAAATCTTTAACTTACATATTACTCCATTTTAAACAATCAAATTTTCTCAAAATCCAAAGTAATTTATTTATTTAAATCAACATCTAAATCTTTGGCTTATATATTATTTCATAGATTATGGCACTAAAAAATACAAATGGTATAATCAATAAAATTAAAAATAATGTATAATCTTTTAGAACTAATAATCTAAAAAGCGATATTTGGACAAAATTTCATATCATTGTAGATGAAAATAAAAAATATTGGATATGTACAATGTAAGAATTGTACCAATTTATTATCTTATAATTATAATCATGATACATCTCATTTAAGAAGACATAAATGTGATAGTAAATCCATGAAAATTAATAAAAAAATTTTTACACCTGAAAAATGGACCTATAAATCTACTCTAATATATTTGAAAGAAAAATTTATAGATCATTCTTTAACTCTTTGCGCAAAAGATATTAGACCTTTCGAAATGATAGCTGGGAATGGGTTTCTTGAATTCAGCCAGGCTCTAATCGATGTAGGGGCAAAGTATGGTAAAATAGATGTCAAATCATTGATTTCACATCCCACCACTCAGAGTTGGGCAGTACCGCGAATACTTGTATCTAAGATACAAGATCCTTTTGTATCTTGTACTCAGTATCTTTTTGACATTTCTAATAAGATACTTGTATCTGTATCTAAGATCCTTTATTCTGAAAAGAATCTTGTATCTTTTTCATTTTCTTGACTAAAGATACAGATACAGATTCTTTTTAATATTCATGTTTAAAATTTTACATATCACAGTATATATTTTATTTTCTTCGAAAATTTTGTATTAATTTCCATATTTCTGCTATATTTTAATATATTGACAGCTAAATTTTTCTGTAAAATAAACAACTCATATTAAGGTAGAAAGATAAAAAATAACACCAAAACGAAATAAGTATAGATTATATTTTATATATAAATGTACCTCGATAGAATATCATTACCAATTTTATGCAATATTTTTATATTGTAGGATGATTACCACTCATGGTGTGAAATTTATTTATAGAAAAAGTTCCCCTGAATTATATCCCAATCTTGAAATTTGGAAATTTTTTTAAAAAAAAAGTTAAAAAAGACAATTTACAGGCTAGATGTAAAACCTGTATAAACAAAAAAATGATAAATTAAGCACAATTTTGTTAAACATAATAAAGTATATTATTTATGTGTAATTAAAAGGGGGCATCATAGGTTATCTTAAATTCAAGTTTACAATATTGTCTACCTTTATTAAAAGCTGCCTAGATGGTATGGGCAAAAGATTTTAAGAAAATATTTTCCTATGATTCGAATATAATGTGGCTTTTTTGATATCAAAATCACATCCATATTTTAAGAACTTATCGATTGAGTCGGATTATAAAAAAGATAATTTCAAAATTTCTTAATAAGAGAAGCCCTGAATAAAAATAACACCAAAACGAAATAAGTATAGATTATATTTTATATATAAATGTACCTCGATAGAATATCATTACCAATTTTATGCAATATTTTTATATTGTAGGATGATTACCACTCATGGTGTGAAATTTATTTATAGAAAAAGTTCCCCTGAATTATATCCCAATCTTGAATAATCAAGATCAAACGATGTTTATTTTTCTTTTAGTGAAACAAATGATGCTGAGTTCAATGATACAAATAATATTGAGCTGGAGGTTTTAAATTATATTAAGTCGAGAATATATTATAAATGCTTAATTATTATCCTTCCATTAAGGAAATATGTAATACTGTAATACCTTCAACAGCTCCATTTAGGGTTATTTAGTTTTGGTACAATGTTAAGTACGCCGAAACGGCAAAGGTCTGATGATAAATTATTTGAAAAATTTGATTGTCTTATAATGAATGTATCTTAAATACTCTGCAAATTAATATTTCAATTCAACTCCAATTGGTAAAATGCCTGATTTTTATAATTAACTCGTCATTAAATGTTTTATAAATTATTGTAAATATTCATTCTTGTTATATGTGTATGTTATGTTCTTCACAAATAAATAGTAAAAATTGTATTTTATAAGCTATTCTAATTTAATTGGTAATGATAATTTAAAAGTATCTTGTATTTAAGATACTCTAATTAAGTAAAAGATACAAGAATCTTTTATCTTGTATCTTTTTGATATTTTGAAAAAGATACTAGTATCTGTATCTAAGATTCATTTTTTCACAAAGAATCTGTATCTGTATCTAGATTCTTTTTCAAGAGGACCTGCCCAACTCTGCCACCACTCTATCACGCCACATTAAGGAAAAATGTGAGAAAATAAGAAACATTTTTGTTGACACTATTACACCAGTAATAAAAAATCGATTTATGGCTGCTTCCACTGATATATGGTGCGATGACCATAAAAAGAACTCGTTTATAACGGTTAACATGCACTATATATCAGATGACTGGAAGTTAGTAAGAGAAACCTATTTACTGCTAAATTTAAAGAAGTGTCAAAGACTAGCAAGGTAGTTAAGGATGAACTATTAAAAAATCTTCACAATTTTAATTTTAACACTAAAGATTTTATTAATATAATATTTGTTACAGATCAAGGTAGAAATATTATAAAAGCATTGGAGTTAAATGAACGATTAAATTGTTTTTGTCATATATTAAACACAATTTTAAGAAATTCATTTAACTTGAAATATTTTGAACATTGGCATACGCAGCGGAGGGCCCCCCCCCCCCCCCAAAACCAAAAAATGCAGATGCAGGATATATTTTTCAAAAATATTATTGTTTATATTAATTTATATTTGTTAATATTTATTCGTATCTCATATTAAATATATATTTAATTATATTTATTATCACATTTATCTACTAAGTTATTTTATCAATTAATTTCTATTTCAAGTTTTCCGGCGTAATATTTACTTATTATTTTCAAATTTTTTAGTGGCGTAATATTTATCTACCATTTTCAAATTTATAGTCAAATAATAATTATTTCTGAAACTTCTTGTCCAACAGGAAAAAAGAAATTGCAACCTGGTCCAACGAGATAGAGTCTCTGCCATCAAGCAGTAACAGCTTTTAAGTAGTTAGAAGAGCCAATTATTTGCTATAACTGAAATATCACAATGGCCTGAAAGAAATATTTCCTCAGAAGCAAGAAAATTATTGGATTCAATGCCTATTCCAAATTTTATTTCTCATTAGAATGTATTATTTAATTATACAACTATTTTAAGTATTACTTTTCAAAAACATGACATTGACTTGATTAAGAAGATGAGAATAGCGGAGAGCATTTTATCAGAACTCAAGGAAATAAGGGCTAATGTTGATGAAGAATTTTATATTTTATTGTTGAGTCAAAGCAGAGCTATACGTGTTTAATATTTGTCTCTCTCGACTTGTAGCAAGGCAAGCTCATCGTTAAAACATTAATATAGGATCAGTAGAAGAGTATATCTTAAATACAGATACATTTGTAACCCAAATAAATGAATTTTTAATTCATCATGCAGCACCTACTAATCTGCAAATATTAATTCCACAAAAGCCTTCCCAACCTTTTTCTGATGGTGATAGAAAAAAAAAATTTGTTAGATTTTTATTATGAAGATGTTAAAGTATCTTATGATACCTTACTAGCTGAAAAACTATGTTTATAAGATTAACTATGGTTGATATAGTCCCAAAAAATGCTATTAATGCTCTGCATTATTTCAAACACATTTTAGATTAAATTCCCAATGTATTAAAGAGGTTTATATTCTTTCCATTAGTAAACTAATGACAATGAGAGAACATTCTCTTTTTTAAGAAGAATAACAGACTGCAGAAGTACGATTTGCGGGGCACGGCCCGGATTTTTTTAAAACATTTTTTACGGCCCTGGCCTAGGTTTTTTTTAAAAAAAATTCAGGTCCGGCCCGGCTTTTTTTAAAGTAAAATTTTCAGGCCAGACCCGGATTTTTTAAAAATAAATTATATTTATTTTTGATTTTTATAGCTAATAACGATTTCAAATATAGGCTGTTTTAAAAAATACAGCCCGGATTGGGTGTTTTTTTAAAATAATTCAGGCCCGGCTTGGGTGTTTTTTTTAAAAAATTTCTACCCCGGCCCGGGTATATTTAAAAAGGATCTTTTGAATATTCATAGGCATTTGACGACAAGCAAGGATGAGATAATTGAAAAATTAGCTCAATCACAACGAAGATTGGATTTTACATTGTAAATATATAACATACAAAATACAATTATTCCTAAGAAACATTTTGTGTAAAGGCTCAAAAAATTCAAATTTCTATTTTGGGTCATTTAAGTGATTCTTTACATATAATTTTTTTATAATTCACATTAATTTAAAATTGTGTATTAGAAATAGTTATTAGTCCTAATTAATTTATGCTTGATATTTTTAGAAAACAATAATATTTCTTAAAAAATTCCCCCCCCCCCAGACCAAATTCCTGCGTACGCGCCTGGTATTGTAACATGATTAAAATATATCTAATAAAATAGTGTTTGAATTTTTGGAGTGGAACCACCTTTTTTAATATGTGTCCCTATTTACTTCAGATGATATAGTCAGAAATATATATAGAAGAGCGAGGACTTTAAATTTCATAAATTCCGTTCATAATTTTTGACAGCAATTAGTAAAAACTGAATAAACCTTCGTAAGCACATAAAACCCTGTCACTTAAGTACTGAGACAGTTCAAATATAATTTTGCTTATTCCTTTAACTCCCGCTCCCATCGATGCATTTTTTTAAATATTTTATGTGGGATAATTATTAAAATGATTTATAACATAAATAGCCACTTATAAGTTGGGTCTTGGTATTATTTACCACTAGATAAAATATCTTAAAACTGTTTTTTATTTGAAATATACATTTTTTTATAGTTAAATTGCAAAAAAATAGGAAGTCAGCGATTTGTGGACGACATACAATGCATGTTAGAAGGAAATTTAAAAGGTGCCCTTGTTTGGAAAATATTATGGTCCGTTGTCAACCCTATAATTTTATGCGTATGTCTGATATTTATAATAATATATTAAATTCTACATAATTTATAAAAAATATTCTCTTATTCTGTTTGCATGCCATACCTTTGGTAAAAAATTGGAAAGATTAACATAATGTGTATGTTAATATATATCTTTTTAAAACTAAATTACTCCCTAAATAGAAAAACCGATTATATAATTATTCATCATTCCTTTGTATCATAATTTAAACCAAATATTTTAACCTAAATTTTTTTTTATTTAAAAATATATTAGACTATTATAGTTTCGAATATACTGTATCATGTACCTATTAAATATGGAAATTACATATATCCTCAATGGTCTATTAGAATGGGCTGGGCCATCAGTTGTTTTAGCCTGATCCCCATTCCAATTTACGCTATTTGTTACCTATATTGCTTTCCTGGCGAAACTTTTATAAAAGTATTAAAACATATTTTCTGTTTATATTTTTTGCCATTATTATTTGCATGCATTAAAAAACGAAATGAATTATAAGAATTACTTAAGTATGCTCTTCAGAGCAAAATAATTATTAAATATTAACGGCTATCTTGTGATAATATAGACAAAACAAATTTAAGATTAAATATTCGAATTATTTTACATAAATAGCTATTATTCTGTTTGTCGTATTCATACGAATCGGATAATTTATTGATATCAGAAAGTGGATTTTATCAAGCATAGAGAATGGTTAGAATTCAAAAATTGAATGAGAAACAAAGAAAATTTACTGTCCATCAGAGAACCATAGGACTAGATCTAGAATTCAGTCCAGGGTCTAAGAATAAAAAATTTACACAAGACGGGGGAATCATATAATGGAATATTTAACATTCATTAGTTTCTCATACTTTCAATTTCCTTTTGTAAAATGACACAATATTAAAAATTTATAATCAAAATTTTATCTCAGAAGGGCTTACAAATATAAATTCTTATGTAAGTAAGTTGATCTCTTGATAAATTGGGTACCATATTAAGCAACATTATATGTATTGCAACGATTTAATAATTTTTACATAATTTGATAAGTTATATATTTTTACATTTGCTATTATAACACATTAAAGCGTCTTAAAATGTCTCTTCGGCCATCAGAATGGGATTCGATTCGTAGCGCAAAAGCCAGACCTGTTATAAGATTCGAATTGCTGCCGAAAGAGGTGTATCGTGACATAAATAAAATACTTTTATACTTTAATGAACTTATATTTAGATTCAATAATCATACTTTAAATTTCTAAAATGATTACCTTAATGTTTTAAACTTATATAACTTCCATTCTATAAACTTTAACCAAAATTTTGAAGGTTTTATTTAAATTTTATACTCTTCGAAGATTGCGATATATACATTGTCAATAATTTTATAGTGTTAACCTTTTTTATTGTTTGTTTTACCGATGCTTTCAAATTATATATATTTATAAAAGTTATTATGACGTTGTTTATAATTCTTATATGTCATCACAAAGGGGAATAAAAATTAAATCAATAGATGGTGTTCAATTTATTTTATTAATCAGCTGTTTCATACAAATATTGTATAATTTGTATTTAATTTGCCAGTGGCGTAACTTGTCTTTTTCTGGTAGCTATTTATCATGTTAGAAAGAAATAGGGAATGATAAAAGTATTCATAATTATTTCAAAAAAAACTGACACGAAGAATAAAGTTTATTTAATTCTATTGAATTATAATAGCTGCTAACCCGTCAAGAATGACCGGTGAATCAGACATTTTCCTTCATATGATGATAGATAAATCAGAAATTTAACTTTTATCTACAATTTTTTACCTCTTTCCGAAAAAATTTAATATTGATTTTGCCTACTTTATTTTTTATTGCATACTTTACTGACTATTTATTAATGTTCTTCAAAACCTGCATATTACTATAATAGAATATAAATTACTATTTTTATGTCTAAAAACTATAATATTAGGCCATACTATGCAAAAATTTAGTCGTGACATTCCGCTTGAGACATTTTTATATTATGCATAATGACTCATTATTACCACTCACATCATCCTGAAACCAGAGCTCCCATTAGTCAGCATCGCTGTTCGCTCATCATAGCGTGAAAGTGGGAGATGGATTTTAGGAGAGCAAAGAAAGGGAAAAAGAAGGAAGAAATAAAAAATAGAAAAGCAAAGATATGAAGGAAGAATTCTAAAAATTATATAATAAGCAGACTTGGTTATAAATTTTCAACCCATTTGTAGCTACATTGGCATATCTCCATATAAATTTTTTATTGCCAAATCCCCTAGATCTGAATTTCTCATCTCTAAATGTATAATCAGTATTTATAAATTGTCAGGAATTTTTTTATAGTATTTCATATATTCCTTTTTTCCAACAATGTTAAGGGGAATGAAACAGGTGACCTAGCTCATGTTGATGTAGCAATTTCATAATATCTAAAAAAAAATTTATCTTTATGTCCGATTCGCCTTCATTTTTTTTACCTTTTATTTGAATTTATGATCTAAAAAATTTATTATTGCTAGATGAGAGTTATGCATACCTTATTGTCCATTTTGAAGAAATATTTATTTTGGGAAAAAGCCTTGAAAATATTAATTTATATAAAATTGAAATAAGGAATAGTAGTGACGATGCCAAATTATATTTAAAAAAATTTTTTTGATTAAAAAACATATGTATGGCCTTACAAAACCCTCGTCTAGCAAAATTAAACTTATAGGTCATAAATTACAAATATATAAAAATGCATTTAATAATATTTTTAAATTGTGCACATAAATATATTTTCAGATATTATGAAATCGATATATTGAAAAGGTATATTCACATAAATGGTCTGCAATTTTTTTTTTGTATATAAATTTATTGAATTCTAATATTTCATAGAAGTAATCCATAATATATAGTGTTTTTAATTTAACTACTCCCCAAGATTATAAATAGTTGTTTATTTTGGTTCAACAACAAATATTAAAAAATTCTAAATAAATTTATTGCTTAAAATAATTTTGTGAATCAATGGTATTGCACTTTTAATTGAGATTGATTTTTTTATATATATTTAAATTTGTATTGATATTTTATATAACTTTAATTGGTATTATTTGACAATAACCTATTTCGATTATTTTAGCCTGTAACCTTGTTTTTGTTTAAATTGCTTTTGTAATATATATATACCTCATTGTTAGTTAGTTTTTTTATTAGTTAGATAATATAATAGAAAATACGTTTTATTAATATAATGAATTTTTAGTACCGAATCATATAACATGCACAAAATTATAATATAAAATAATTTAAGAAATAGTCTTAAATAATTAACTTATAGCTTAACAATTAATATATACTCATATAAAAAAAAATTAATGGTGGTAAGCAAGGATTTATATATTGCTTTACATGAGATAAAATTTCCTTCGCAATCTTGAACTGATATATCCATAGATTTTAAAGAGGGAAAAAATATTAATCAATAACTTCATTTAATGTTAAATTATTATTGTTTATCTTTGTATTTGAGTAGTTCCAACTAATTATGCACATGTGATTTACATTTTTTTATATCAATGAACCTATTTCTTTTTAATGTTTTCATATGACGCAAATGGTTATTTATTTTAGAAAAAATTGGTGATCCCAATAATGATAAATATGAATAATGCCATTCAAATGAAAACATTAAAATTAAATGTCCTAACCAGAACGCATAGCATATTATTGTGCTCTAAATCATATCTGAAACTAATAAATATCTGAATTAATAATTTTTTGAAAAGAATTGGGAAACATTGTAGCAAACTTTGAAACTATGAATCGGATATCATAGAAACTATTAATTTTTCTTTCCGAGTATAAAGAAAAAGTTGAATTTTTTTTTAGAAAAAGGACCAGTATTGAATTTGGCATTACTTTTTAGAAGTGAAAGAGAAGCGCATTTAATATGATATTATCGGAATAACTCGGATTATTTCACTTAAAGAAAATATGTTAAAAAAAACTTACTTTACAATTTTCTATTGCAATATTTTAATTTACTTTTTATTTTAAAACTAGGTGCTGGCTTCTCTTCTAAGCAAGACCTCAAAATTAGAAATTATAATTATAATTGAGCAATATTACACATCGTCAAAATTTATTATTAAACATCTTAAACTTAAGAAATATAATTATATTAAATTACTAAATATAGAGATTGAAAATTAAAATAAATTATCAAATAAAATTATTTGACAAGGTGATAAATAGTGTTTGAACGGCTCAATTTTTAAAAACGGCTAACCCAATATTTAAGCAAAAAAAATATTAAGCAGGCCTAAAGATTTCGCTCATATAAGGCAAAGGCAGAAAGGTTTGCAACATCTATTAACGTAATACCGAGGCTTGCGTTATATTTTTGGATATAAAATTGGGTTAACCGTTTTTAAAAATGAGTTACAAACAAACTCAACTTAGTTGTTAGTTATAAGTCATAAATAAACATTCTACAAGCACAAAATGTGATTCCACTTTAAGTGATTTAGAACAAGGATGCCATACACAAGTGATGTTCTAAATTTTTAGAGAAAATCTTTGTGTTCCGGCACTGGCACGAGTTTTCTCTACTGCTGGATTGACTTTGAATTTAAGAAAATATAAAGATAATCTTCGGCAAATTTAAATTATCTTTATAAATGCTATAAAATTACAAAATTGAGTTTGAATTTATAATAATTAGTGTTCTTTTTAATAAAGATGTTAAATATACCGATATTCTTTAGTTTACTTTTTTGTTTAAATTTAATTTAGCTTTTCTTAAAAAAACTCAATTGTCAATTTAAAAATTATATATTATAAAAAATTTATGTCATGCGCCGATTTACGCAGCCTATGTTGACATATAAAAAATGCGAGCCGCAAGCTGCCGATTAGATTTTCAAAACTATGCGCCGGCCACCGAGAGTTTTGACGGCCCACATGTCTAAATATATATAAAAATTGAAATATTATAAGAATTCTCGTTGCTCATGACCAGTAAACTTAACCATTTTTATCCCATTATCGATAGAACATTCATTCTAATACGTTTAGGAGCAATGAAAATGATAGTTCATCAAAATGTATTAGGAATAGATAATTATATTGCATGTTATGTAAATTAAAAAACATTAATTTTAGAGTTTCAAGAAGAGAATACATAGAAATACATTGTTTTTGAGAATTTTTCCCTAATTTAATACAAATATTTTTGCCATTAATAATTCAGTTTAAGAGGAAAAAATTTATAATGGTCTATTAATGGAAACATATTTTTATCAAGCATAAAAATATGTGATATGGGATTAAATCCGTCTAATGCTTGTATATATCACCTTACAAAATTTCTATTATCATAAAATGCCTTCGTTTTATAACGATATTGGAATTATAAATATCATTTAAATCAAAAAAATAAATATGTTTCAAAGATATTTTTTTACAATTATTTGAACATATTAGGCTATTAAATTGAGATGAAAATATAACAACTTGGTCTTATAATTAGGAAAAGTGCATCACTTCGTATCTCATTAAATGATTCAAGGATTTTATTAGGGCAAATTGCAAAACTCAGGTCGGCTATTTATTTATGAAGAGTAATTTACACTCCATCAATGAAATTCAATAAATATTTTAAAAAATAGAAAGGTTAATAATTGTTTCGAAAGATAATAAATTAGCTTAAGGTCCTCTAGCCTAAGCTTATTTGGATTTGGCTCTTTATAAAATTTGTAATAACTTCAAAGACATTCTGATTGCTTTATGGTTTTTATTCATATAAATAATATAATGGTATTCTATAATTACAAGATGCAAAAATGTGCCCCAATAGAAATTTCTATTTCAAGATTTTCATCATCCAATTTAAAAAGAATATCAACTGTTTATTTTTCGACAGTGAAACCCTTCAAAATCAAAATGTATAGCAAATTCCTAAAAATGATAAATGAATATTTAAATGGCATTTTTGGGTTTTTTTTAAATTAATTTTGTTATACCATGATTGGTAATCAAATAATTCACAAATCAATTGCCTAAACATATTTTATATTTGGATGAAATAATCCTCGCAATACTGTTGATACTTATTTAATAAAAGAATTTTATGAAAAGATTGATATTTTAAAAAAAAATACAACTTTTAGACAAGAAAAATTAAAATAAATTCTTTCTGGAAATTTAACAATTAAAAATAATAACAATATAAACA